GAAAATTAGAAAACTTAAAGTTTACTTAATGTAATTGGAAACAAACATTACTTAATTTTTAGCAAAAAAAATTTAGTTGAACCGTGGTAATTGCTTTTGGGGTTGTGAATTGATGTTTACGTCAATGTATCGACAACTAACGTCAGGGCAATTTATCGGACGAAAAGACAGAAGTGACAGTATTTTCGAATTTTAAGTGAACCAGATTATATAACTATAAAATAATTTTTAGAAATTGAATACTTTCAAATGTCTAGTATTTTATTCTTAGGTACTTTTTTAACGAAGATATGCCGAAACTCCGCACTGTTTCCGTCACTGAAATTGAATCTAAAAAATAAAATAATTAATAATTGCAGTATCTCTCTCACTGAAAAACAAAAAATTAATTATATTTAAAAAATAAAATTAAAATATTTAGTGAAATAGGACGTAAAAAAGAAAATTAAAATTTTTGAAAATGCGACGATGATAGAGAATTTGAAACGTGCTAGCCTTAAGAAAATCAAAGCAATTTCTTAAGGCTTTTTTCTTACATTATTATCATTTCTTACATTACTTATTATTTCTGAAGCTTGCATCCATAGATTGGGAGACAACGTTTTTAATACATTTTTTGTATATCAAAAATGTTCTAAAAATACTATCGTGCTCCAAATTGTAATAAGCTTTCAAATTTATAATCTGTAAAAATAGATATTTTAATAACAGCATTTTCAAAAATACACAGATTCAAACTTAATTTTAAAATATTTAACAAATTTATCACATTTTGTAATTATAATTGGAAAAGAAGAAAACAATTCTTGTAAAAATTTCTTGTAAAAATTTCTTGTAAAAATTCATTTTTCATCGGAAAAATATTTTGGCTTCAGACAAGTTTCCTATATATTTATTCATAAAAGCCATTAAAAGCCATGTCCTATATATATATTATTCATAAAAGCCATTAAAAGATTTTTTAATTAAATAAAGCCTTAGTTTTATTGGGTTTTATGTTTTACAATTCAAAAAATTGATAATTTATATTCTTCAAAGTATTCTGCTTTTAACTAATATAATCACAAAATTACACAGAAGTCGAATTTTCGAGTTTTCATAAAATTAAGTGTAACAGATGTAAAAAATATTTTTACCATTATTTCTAAAAAACAAACATTTCTAAAATAATTTCATTCATTTATGAATAAGTTCTGAAAGTTTCACTAAAATGCGACAATTATTTGATTTTTGCAAGAATTTCCAAATTCAGTTTTCAACTGAAAAAAGCGTTAAAAAAAAACTAATGGTAGATATTACGTGACCGCTGAAGTCAAAAGAAAAAACATCAAGATTTTTAGCTAAAATTTGGAATATGCTAGAAAGTATTTTAAAAAAATTTTAAAATAATAAAAAATACTTTGGTCTTTCCTCTTAACATAAAGATTTTGACGATAAAACTTTGTTTTTATTAAATTTGGGACCTTTTTCATCAGGCTGATATTTTGGGGGCGAATTATTGAAGATACCTACTGTAGCCCTACATAACATACCGTTTTGTAATCAGGCCAACTCTGTGAGCAAATAAAAACAACCCGGGACGAACCCGGAACGAACCCGGGACGAATCCGGACCCGCAATCCTGAAATTTGGGATTCCCAAGTTTTCATTATTGCGATTGTTTTCGGTGATTTTTTACATGATTTTTTTTGCGACGAAAGTTTTTGTACGATAACAATTTTTATGACATGGAAATAAATTTGAGAAATTAATTGCGAAATCCAGCGAAAGTCACCCATTAAATAAAAATAATTGTTTGTACGGAAAATAAGAACATACATACATCAAATTTTCTTTTTAAAAAAGTGGCAACAGAAGAATTATCGTTGAACTTTTAAAGTTAAGCTTAAATATTAATGCAATACTTAAATGCAGCATTCAATTTTGAGTTCTTCTGTAGTTTATTGTTGCCTATCGCATCTACTCCTCCCTATCTATTCTGATGAAAGCCCTCCGCAGTAAGCTATTAAGAAATATAATAATAATAAGAAGTAATATAATAATAATATAATAATAATAATAAGGAGAAGAAATAATATCAGATTAAAAACATTTAAATTTTATTGCTGTTTACGTTTTGAGTACGAAAAATGAAGTTTTCAGATAGTTTCGTAGAAATCGCAACGAAAGATATGAGTTCCTTAAATAGGTCATGCAAACCTTACAGTATCAAGATTGTCTCCCATAGCCCAATTGGTAGCTGTATGTTTCCCTAATAATAAAAAAAGAAAAGAAAAAAAGCGATACAGGCTCGATTCCTGACAGAAGGCACAATTTTTCTTTTTGTTCGATCTAGGATGGTTGTCATTAATTTCACTGTTTAAGAAAATGAAACAAGTGATAGAAACTCAAACACAAATATATTGTGCATTTAGGCATCAATTTATAAATGATTCAGAAGCAGTTTCAGTTTAGCGGCATTTATACATGTTTCATTAAAAAAGACAGACACGGTACTGCGATTAGGATTTTATTTAATTTTTTGTGTTCGACACAGAGTGTGTAGAAACTATCCAAATGTTCTGTAATTCCGAGCTCTTTCGGCTATACTTTTAGCCATTATCAAGGATGATTTTATTTTTCCTTTTTAACTGAATATATGGGTTGCGTGTATCTATCTACAATTATGGAGATTTTTTTATTTTCCGAACACAGTCAGTACATTGTGGCCGTGTTCGTAGTTAATATTATTGAGTGTTGGCTTTTTCGTTTTTATTATTAGGGCTTCCATTATTTTATTTTTTACATGTGAATGAGGTTATTATATTAGTATTTTCTACTAGTATATTTCAGATGGAGTCTAGTATGTTTGTGTGTGGGTTTAAATGGGTTCTAATGGAGCTGTGGTCTGATAGGTGTAATGTAAGGCGTCTGGATAGGCATGTAGTAGTGTGACCGATGTAATTATTTATGGATTCGGTCTGACCAGGAACTCAGTTTAAAAGGCATTTGAAACCATAAATAATGTTCGTTCATTGTAATTTTGATTTTGTTGGTGTGTTGTTATTTTTGAGGATAAGGTTAGCTGTTTTAAATTTTTTTGTAGTAGGTAATTAATTTGGTTTTTTTCTGTTCGGGTCAATTGAGGTAGTGTATGATAGTTTATGATATTTCTAAGTGATGATTCATCTTGTTTGTAGTTTACGTGCATTTGGCTTTTGTAGAGAATATTTATGTTATTTTTAACTGTGTGTTCACTATCGTTGTTTTTTACTTTGGGAAAAAATAGTCTAATTTGGTGTTCTATAAGGTGGTTAGGGAAGCCATTGTAAATGAGTATCTGTTTTGCATTGTTGAGTTCTTTAAGGATAGGCAAGAAGATGAATTATGCTGTGCTCTTTTTAGGAAGTTTTTTATAACTACTATTTTGTATCTGAGTGGGCATTCACTCTTAAAGTTAAGGTGGCAAGAGTTTCTGCTAGTGGGGTTTTATACAATAAAATTGTATACAATACAATTTATAAAAGTGTTGTTACAGTATTCTACGAGAACGTCTACGAATGGGAGCTTATTTTTTTAAGAAGTTCGGAAGTAAAGTTAAGGACAGAGTTTTTTTTTTCAAATGTCTTGAGAATATCTATATTTCTTTTGTGTTATTCGCTAAAATAAAAATATCATCTACGTAGCGGACATATATTTTATGTTTGCAGACCTGTTTAAATATCATGTTTTCTACATGGGACATGTAATAATTGGGTGTAAATGTTGCCATTATGGTCTTATAATGGGACTTTGGTTGTGCATGTATTTAGTATTTTTTAGTAATTTATTCTTTTGTCCGCCAGCAGTGCCCTGAAAAGCGCATTCTGCGTTCGCGTAAGATTATAGAAATATCAGGGATGAGTCCATAGATCCGTGATTTAGTTGGATATTGTCTCCAAGAGATGTTAATTATGTCTCTCAGCATCCGAGTGTAGGTTCCATGTCACCATACATTAAAACCGACTCTACAGCGGCGCGAAAGAAGCTCTGTTTCACCGTGTTTGGTAGATCAAATTTCCAGATTATATCAATTTTATTCCGGGCGGCCCAGGCTTTATCTATGCGAATTTTCACATCTATATCAATAGAACTATTTTCGCTTCCTTCATCTCAACTTCTGCTTCGAAACTTCCACAAGTACTACCAATGGTGGTTTTGGCATGTTGCTCAATCCATTAACCGATAAAGCGCTCACGAACATTGAATAAATTGAACCCAGAATCATCATAGCTAGATTCAATCATCTGAGTGAACCCTATTAACTTTCCATCAGCATGGCTGATGCTAACCTTTGTGGGGTGTGACTCATTGCTTCTTCTCGGACTAACATTTTCAGAGTATATTGAATCAGTTGTTAAGTCTGAAGATAAGAAAGCTGGTTTACGATGTCGTGCTAGACAATTTTTTCTCTTATATATCTATAAGTCTACCATTCGTCATTTGAATATAGCTGCCACATGCGGTATGGTATCCCTGCTATATATTTAAATATTCTTAATAAAATACAAAGACGAATAAACAATATTACTGGTCCTGACTCGGCATCTCAGCTTAAGTCATTTTCCCAATAAATTTGCTTCCCTGTGCCTTTTCTATAAATATTTTCATGGTAATTGTTCGAGTGAGCTCTTCGCTATTGTACCTAGAGTTTATGAATTTAAACGTGGCACTAGATTAGCAACAAGGTTTCATAAATTGGTTAAATGTAACCGTAAGTTCTATGCTAACAGTGTCTATTCTCGCACTTCTCGTTTGTGGAACTCTCTTCTGGATTCTTGCTTTCTACCACCTTTAATCTTCAATAATTTACGTGCACTGTCAATCGTTATCTACTGTCTTCCTGATTACTCTATTTTTTTTTCGCTCCTCAATAATGCTTTTGTTTTCTAATTCATTAATGTTCAGAAACTGCCTTGTGTCTTTACTGCCTTGTTTGGGTTGATTTCGATTTTTAAAAAAGTGTCATATATTCCAGTCACGTATGATAGATAGATATACCGAGAAAATAAGAAAAGTGCTAGATAGATAGATAGATAGATAGATAGGAAAACTGTTGATATATAGATACATAAATAGATCGATAGGTATGAACATATGTATGAAGCTTGATAGATAGAAATTATCAGAGACATAGATGATAGATATAGACAAACTGTTGAAGATATATAGATAGATGAATAGTTCGATAGCTGTGAACATACGGATGAAGATTGATCAGAGTGCCTTAGATAGATAGATAGATAGATAGATAGATAGATAGATAGATAGATAGATAGATAAAATAAGAAAAGTGCTAGATAGATAGATAGATAGATAGATAGATAGATAGATAGATAGATAGATATAGAAAATAAGAAAAGTGCTAGATACTTGATATATAGATACATAAATAGATCGATAGGTATGAACATACGAATGAAGCTAGATAGATAGAAATTATAAGAGTGACATAGATGGATAGATATGGACAAACTGTTGAAGATATATAGATAGATGAATAGTTCGATAGCTGTGAACATACGGATGAAGATGAAAATTGATCAGAGTGACTTAGATAGATAGATAGATAGATAGATAGATAGATAGATAGATAGATGGTGTATATACGTAAACTTTTCCGACTAGACATCTACCATAGCTGTCGGTATTTCGCCTTTGTAAATTCGACAATAAAATACAATAATTTTTTTTTCTTATTTTGGTGTTAGTAAGTAACATTTTTATGGCCTCGCTTTCGCCTTTTTTCCGCCACCATTTTATAGACCCGTCGACATTCTTGACACTTTTTTTTTTTCGAGTATAAACAGCTGTTCAATCTCTCTTACGTCTTTGCTTACAATCACGCATCCCGATCATGAAACATTTTCTGTTATTTTTGTTTTTATTATTTTCTCAGCCTAAATTCGAAGAAACACAATGGCCACAAGCGTGGGACGCCCAGAGTAGATGGAACATAAAACAATAGCAAATATTTGAAAGTCTAACTCTTGCTCTCTATGATCAGGCGCATTTAATGGTCTGCGAGACAGTTTTTCCTTACTGTTACTCCACAGCAAGGTACCTTACATTGGTATTTGCTAATATTGACTGGACACAGTACTGGGATATGTTGACCATGTTTGCCACAGTCTCTGAATATGGAATCCAGTGAAGTCTGTAATCTGTTCAATATCAGAGGTCGGCAGTGAAGATTCAGAGAAAGTGGCGGCTGTTAAGTAATTCTTTAAGTCTTCGATATCAGGTTGGCAGTGCAGACAATTTAGGAGAAAAAATGGCTGCCTTTATATACGTCGCATTGAATATTTTGAGCTTTCTGATTGGTTAACCCTTCTATTGGTGAACTATAAAATGAGTCAGCTCATTTAGGCTAACTCACTAGTACTTAAATATCCAAAAAACTGCAGCAGGATATGCACCAGGACGGCTGAGGATCAAACCCTGTATAGACGTTCTTATAAAATTTAATATTTTTAAGTCTGAAACAAGATGGCTACAGTCAAGTGAGAATCAAACATACTACGCCAGGAAATTGGTTTGACAAAATGACCTTGCTAATTCACGTGAGGCACAATTCTTTCTTTCTTTCTTTTTTACAACTAGGTTAATATCTATATCTGTCTATATTTCTGAGATTAGGTATTGTAATTATTTACATTGTTCGGACTGTTGTCGCGATCATGACAATAAAGATGAGGACAACAGTTCGAACAATGTAAATAAGTTAATATTTGTCTATCTAAAAAGAAAAAAAGTAAAAGATAACATATGCATAACGCACACATCCGCTTCCCAGCAACCAATAAAGCTGTTAGACTAGCTAAGGAGGTAAATCTAAGACTCGTGAATCTCTCAGCCTCTCCTTAAAAGAAATTGAAAGAAGCCATTTGACCAATACAACGACTAATCAAAAATTAACGATAAAACACAAACGAAAACTACAGGCAAAGTTCACTTTCTTCATGGACAGACATTCACCCTTGTAGTTCACTGTTGTTAAAAAACAGGAATTTTTTCTTCAGATGATGGCTATGCTGGCCGAAACTAATCGAGAAAATTAATTTAAATAATAAAGCAAAAATATTAATGTATAACACAGTGTGACTAAAATTTTAATTTTTTAAAATTTTCTTATTGTTCAAGACATATGACTTTCTGTCTATATAACTCAGCCAGTTGGTTCATATCTATCTATATAAGATTTTTCACTTCTGTCTATTTATACATATCTATCTATTTATTTATCTATCGATCGCTCTCTCTTTAACTCATTTATGTGTGTGTGTGTGTGTGTGTGTGTGTGTGTGTGTGTGTGTGTTAAAGAACAAATGCAGATATGTTAATAGGATAAAGAATAAATAGGAAAGACATATCATTCTAACATGTTTCACTTTTATTAAAGCTTCATCTGAGATTGAGAGAAAACAGACAAAAAAACAAAACTTGGGTATTTTCAATTTTGTTTGGATCGATTCTCATTGGTCATTCACCTATCAGGTACATTAAAACCGTAGGTATTTCTATATGCATAATTTTTTACAAACTTGCATACATATAGAATTATCTACGGTTTTAATGCGCCTGATACACGAGTGACCAATGAGAATCGATCCAAACGAGATATTGAAAACACCAAAGTTTTGTTTTTTGTCTGTTTCTTTTCAATCTCTGACGAAGGTTTAATAAAAGTGAAACATGTTAGATTGATAAGTTTCCTATTTGTTCTTTATCATATATATATATATATATATATATATATATATATATATATATATATATATATATATATATATATACTTAAAATACTCCCTATCGGACGGCATTTAAGCTAGCTACTGCTCTTGGTTGGACCTTCGTCACAATAGGTAGGAAAGAGTAGATACGATAGGCAACAATAAACTACAGAAGAACACAAAATTGATCGCTGGATTTAAGTATGGCATTAATATTTAAGATTACCTTTTAAAAGTTCAATGGTAATTCTGCCGCCACTTAATTTAAAGACAATTTGATGTGCGTAGGTATTTATTTTCCGAACGAAAAATTATTTTTAATTTCATGAATGACTTTCGCTAGATTTCAGAATTCATTTCGATTATTCCTAAATTTATTTCCAAGTTATAAAAATTGTTATCGAAAAAATTGACAATAATGAAAACTTGGGAATCACAAATTTCAAGATTGCTGGTCCGGATCTGGCCCTGAATGGTTTTAATTTGCACACAGAGTCGGCCTGAATCCAAAATGACATGATATATTAAAAACGTGTCGCATAGTGACACAATGACATTCGATTTATCATATATATATATATATATATATATATATATATATATATATATATATATATATATATATATATATATATACAGAGAGTGCGTGTATGTATGATCTATATAACTCAGTCACTTGGTTCATATCCATATATCTATCTTAGAATTTATCTTTCTGCGTGTCCCTTTGTATCTTATTACTTATTCTATTTATTCTTTTTACTACTATGTAAACCAGTTGTTACAATCTTTTCTCCAGCCTTTCGAAATTTTCCGCTTTTTCCATTCAACTTTTGTCTTGTTTCTATTATAATTTCATTTTCTATTTAAAGGGCTGAAAGTGTTTCTTTTAAGCTTCCATACTTGGCCTTAGCAATGTTGAGTGGCGTGGGAAAATAGAACTTATGTGTCTGTGCCGACGTAACCTAAGAAGGGGTCCGCTATAACTAGGCTGGCTTTTTGTTGTTTATGCGGTATATTTTCAGAGATGCTGACAGATGTCAGAATGTTGAACTAAGAGTGAGCCAGGATTTCTGAACCCCGACGCTCGAAAATCAAGGAAGTTAACTTCTATACTATTTCTTTACTCAATGGAGTCTCGAGACTTTTGTCAAAATTTTTCACCAATAGTCGAATTGAAAAAAATATTTTACTTTCATTTATATATATATATATATATATATATATATATATATATATATATATATATATATATATATGTATGTATATAATATTAGTGGTCAATATACATATATATATATTTATGAATAAAAATGACAATAGGAAAAACTGGTAATTGCTGACGCGTTTCGTCCAATGTGGACTTTATCAAAGCAAAATACGAAAAAATTTGATAAAGTCCACATTGGACGAAATATTTCAGCAATTACCAGTTTTCCTATTGTCATTTTTATTCATAAATATTCTTCTACCGATTAAATCGGAGAAATTTTCATATATATATATATATATATATATATATATATATATATATATATATATATATATTTCAAAGAGAATAAAATCCAGTAAAGCCCAATGCACAGTACAGAGCAAGAATATAATATAAAAGACTCCAACACTTGTATTCCAGGGTTATAATTTATTACATTGGAATCTTAATCACGATCCAATTCATCAGAGCACCCAAATTAAAAGGCTATATATATATATATATATATATATATATATTATACTGTTAAATTAGAACATGTAAGTAAACGCTACAAAATTGTGCATTTTGTTTCGACGTTTAATAAAACGTCTCATCAGGTAGTTAACAATGATTGTAATAAACGATCTTATTTAAAATTGCAATTTATAAAATATCACTTCATTTTCCGTTTTTAGAATAATTTCCATACAAGGTGAAAAGGATTTTTATAAAAAAAAAAAGGAAAGAAAATAATAATTAATAATAATTAAAATAAATAATTAATAATAATTAAAAATAATAATTAATAATAATTTTATTGATCTACTATATACCGCTAGTTAGGGAAAGTCAGTAAACTGGGTGTTTGAGTTCCAAAAGCTCTTAACGAAAAGAACAAAGCGGTCGTCTGTTCAATGTCACAACCCTCTTTTTCTAACAGAAAAATAACCCGTTCCTGAAATATATCTTAATAGGTGATGAAAAATGGATTGTGTAACGACAACTTTCAACGCAAAAGTGAGTGTATTAACAGAGATAAATCTTCACAAGCAACCCCAAAAATACATAGATGAAAGCTAACGTAGTACGTGTTATGGGATCACCAGGACATTATTCATGCGGTCGAGTTACCAACGAGGAAAGCTCATCAAAACAATTGCGATGAAAATATTTATAGAAAAAACAGAAGCGAGGCGATTTATAGTGGTGGAAGTTCACTGAAGTCGAAATGCCAGATCAGAACCGATAACATTACGGATTCTTCTTTGGACTTTATCAAGAATCTAGTGATACAGAGCAGAAGCACCGGGCCAGATATGGCAGTAATATTCAATGTCGGGTCGAATGGTAGATTTATAAACGTGCAAAGATTCTGATGAGAAAAATTATCTGTCACGACACAGTGAACCAACCTTCATAGTAGTTGATCTAGCAATATGAAGCTCTAAATCCATAAATGAAAAGCAATCCACAGCAAAGTACTTGATGTTAAGCGCATCCCAATCTTCCATAAGGTAACACTAAAAAAAATAGGGAAATTCAGTAAGCTGTGTGTTCGCTTTCTACATGCACGTAGCGAAAAAAAGAAAGCGGATTGTTTATCCATAGCTAAAGTCTCCTTTCACAACAAAAAATCTGTTCTTTAAATATACCCTAACAGGTGATGAAAAATAGGTTGCATATGATAATGCATCCATCTATGTT